CCCAAGGCTTTGAAGGGTCCCATCCTGACATCACCTCCCCATTCACTGTGCATCGGCAGAATCAGAGTCTGTGGTTTGTCGGGGCGGCCCCAAACAAATGCTTCCATATTGCACTCTCCAAATGAAAATTGATGGTGAGAGAGAGGTAGAGATCAGCGTTCAGCCCCCATGTGAGGAGACCCCACCTCCTCCATCTCCACAAGCAGCTGATCAGAACCAATGATCCCCAACAGCAGAGATACCCTGGCTCCACCCCCCCCCAATATCATCCTCACGAACACCTACGGATAATAAGACATTGTTCAGGGAGGAGGTGGAGATGACATGCTTATTTGACTCTGATCCGTTTTGATATTTGATTATTTTTTGATTATTTGGTATATTAATAGCTTACATGTGGTTGTGGCTGAGTAGTATCAATTATAGTGGTTGGGTCACAATTGGCTGATCAGTTCACCTTGAATTCTCGTTTGTGTGTGTGTGTGTGCTTCTAAACGAAGCTGAAAAATAAACATACATGAGAGTACTTTTACATATATATATATATATATAACCCTCTGAAATATTTCCTCCTAGCATGACTCGACTCTTTAAAAAATTGTAGGACTATCTACAGAACATCAGGCATCTCCAGTTTGGGTAAAATCTCATTTGCTATGTCACACATATCACAATTAGGAAGTCTTATATTTTTGGTTGTTGTGAGCCTTTAACAGCTGAGCCATCTCTCCAGCCCCACAATTAGGAAGTCTTAATCAAACCCAAGGACAGAAGTCTCACACTATTTTCTTATAAAATTTTATAGACTTTGTGTGTGTGTGTGTTTACAAATGTGACCCATCTCTCAAGTGAAATTTTTATACAGCATGTTATGTAATCACTAAATTTTTAAGCATGGTTTATAGTACCATAAAGTATTCATGTATAAGTATCAGCACAAGATTTTATATAGTATATAGACGGTCTACTAAGTCTTGGCACCAACAAGTCACTAAGCAAAACAGGCTGGAGAGACGGCTCGGCAGCTAAGAGCCCTGGCTGCTCTCCCACAGGACGGCTTTGTTCCTGGCACCCTCACGACTGCCTGTAACTCCAGCCCCAGGGGATCCAATGCCCTCTTCTGATCTCTGAGGACATCAGGCACATATGCGGCACACACACACACACACACACACACACACACACACACACGCACGCACGCACGCACGCACGCACGCACGCACGCAGGAGAAATACCAACGTGCATGAAATAAATAAATCTTAACAAAAGCAAGAAAAGAAAGACTGGAAGACTAGACAGAACTTACTGAAATACTGTAATTGCTGCATTCAATAAATAATGCAACCGTTATCTACTTCCTATTTATTTTCATAATTTCACAATGTTCTCTGTAACAGGTATCAACTATCGTACCAAACGTGGGCTGAGAGTTTCTAAGGCGTCAAAGAGAAGCCTTTCTGACCTCATCCATTACTCTGCGGTACACCGTCGATCCCACAGAGACTGAAGCACAAGCATATGGCCCTGTCCCCTCCTCCTCCCACGCCGCCAGCACTGCTTAATGGCAGGAAGAAGTGAAGGGATTTCCACAAGAGTTCTCTATGAAGGCTGTGGCTGCAGCAGGAGCCTCCAGATGAGACCCCTGCAAACCTCCTCCTCAGAGGGTTGGGGGAGACTCCAGGGGAGGAAGGCCTGGTTGTCTGCCTCCCTTCCACCACCCCTCAGAACTCTTGATCAGCCCTAAAACACTGTGGCCACAGACCTGCGCCCCCAGGAGCTGCTTCGCCCACAGCCTTCCCTTTCTGGGTCACTGCTGGTCTTATCCCCTAATCCACTAGCGAGTCAACTACATCTGGGGCCTCCTCATCGGCTGTGGCCTCCCAGCTGCCTCCTCCTGGTCTGTCTGTCAGCAACTTCTCAATGTCTAGAGGCAAGATTTTCCCTTTGAGCTGCAAGAGGCCGGTTTGGCTAGCAGCATTCTCTGCAGATGTTTGCAGAATGCAAAAGCATTCCCCTGACAGATGAATGAACAGAGTTGTCAGTCTGCTGTGCCTACTCTAGGGGACCCCTGAAGTGTAATGTGAAAAGGACAGATGCTTCATCTGGGAAGGCATCCAAGGCCCTCTGAGGAATTACACAGGTGGCTACTATTGAGGGCTGGGAAACCCCACTTCTGAGAAGGATATCTGGGAATACAACCACAGTGACCACACCACAACAGGCCTGCTTGGGACAGGTCATCTCCCTTTCTGCTAAGGAAGAGGTGTCCCATCTCAGCCAAAGCACATTCTTGAGCTATTTTTCTAGTAGTAAATAATAGAGCCCCTTTTCAGGAATGCAGTGATTTTCTTTGTCTTCCCTGTTGCAAAGCGCGAAGTGGCAGCAGAAATGTCACCACAGTCCTTGAGATCTGGCTCTGAGGCTCGAAGGAGGCACACTCACTCAGGCTGGGACAGGGACAGAAGCTCCAAGGGGAAGCTGCTGCTTTCTTGGGAGCACATGTAGTTGGGAGGGAGGTTCTGGCTGAGCCCCCAGGATCACTAAGACAATGATAACTATTACGACAATTGTTTTACTAATTGTTAGAAGAGCTGGGATTGTTTGACATTAAACCGTTATTATACACCACCACCTGTATTGAACTTATACACAAAATATGCTGTGTTCACATTAAATCCATTTATCAGAAGAGAAATACAAATTTAGACTCACAAATTTGCTTCTCAAGTTTACATAGGCACAGAGGATCCAACAAGGAATTGAACCCACTCTTATCTCATTCCTAAATCCATGCCCGGAGCTATTGTATTTTATGGATGTAGGAATTGGAAATATACTTTCTTGGAAAATTAGGCTCAGAAAAAAAATAGTGTGGTGTGTCCAGGACAAAACTATGTATACATGGATATATAACAACACTAAGGAGTCACCTTGGCCTTGGCCTCAAACACATTTGAATGTAAGACTAAAAATCTTTTATTTGGTATTTCCTTAAATTATAGGGGAAATCATGTGAAGGATTCTCCAAAAACATATATCCATGTGTGCGCACACGCATATGTGCACACATATATACAGGAGACCAAATGGTTGAGTCACCTTAGACATTATCCCTGATTAGGGGCATTCTGCTCCTTGCCACTAACAAGGACTCGTTTCCTTCTATGCTAAAAGGCAGAAATCTCTCAGTGGAGGGATTGGGATGGTTTTCTTGGAGTACAGATACCTGAAAAGGAGCTTCAAATGACAACAGCAAAATTATTTTTATGTCCCACTCAGCAATGACCTGAGTATGTTTACAGCAGACAAAATCCCAGCCCAGAGAGGAGGAGGTGGGCACAAGCCACGCCCCACCCAGGGAGCTGTTTGTCATTGATAGCAGCTAGAGAAGGGAAATCAGTTTTCTTCAATGGAGTAACCACCAGGGTATGTCAACCACGATGTTATGATGGAAGCTTCACCCCAGCCCCTGGCAACCTTGCCCCAAGGAGTCTGGAATGTTCTGGTGGAAGTTCCACCCAAGCCCCTCCCCTATCTCTCTCCAAACCCTGCTGCACCCCAGAAAGCCCACCAAATGATGACCCCTCCCCAGGGATACTCAAGACCACTCCCACAGGGCTTTTAAACTGTCTTCCAGAGAACAGATGTGTGGTTTTTCTGGTCTCCCTTCCCCATCTCCTCTCTGGAGGGGCTGGAAGGTCTTCCGGGAGCGTTGCATCCATTAAACGTGGGCTTTTTCTAATTCAGTTTGACTTGGTCTGATTTGGATTACTGCATCGGCAGAGAGGCTTACTGGGGTGTAGAAACTGAAGAACATGAGTGCGGAGCACCACTCCTGGGTTCCAGGGCAGGGCCCATCTGACTCCCAGAGGAAGCGCCAGCCTAGAGAAGAGCCTGGCACATCTCAGTACTTTGCACTTTCAACAAGGAATCTGGGAACAACCTCAGCAAAGGATCCGGGTGTGGCCAAGTCTGTGGTACCAGGCGTCAGGGGTAGGGAAGATAGAGGCAGAGTATCGCTCCAATGAGAAGCTGTTTCACTGCCACCACCGATTTCAGGGGAGGGGCACCACCCCAGAAGAAACCCCTTAGAGGGAAAAAGCAATAACAGCATGTCCCAGGAGGAGGAGCCAAAGGCTAATGTCAAGAACTGGAGAGGAAAACTCTCGCTCTGCGGGGTGCGGGGGCCCCAGGGTGTCACCCTGGAGCTAATGAAGCCAGGGCTGTAGGGGTTTCCGGTTTCTGAAAGACTGCTTCATCGCACTCAGTGGCAACCCTAAGAATGAAGTCACCTCCTGCTTTCTTGGTTGTAACCTTCCTGGGCACCAGGGTCACTTAGGGAAGAGGACTCCCATGATGACCAAAGGGGCTTTTCTGTTCAGGTGAGGGCTCAGAGTCAAAATTAAGATTTTTTTTCACTAAAGATTGCTGTTCTTAGAGCTAGAGAGATGGCTCATCAGTTAAGAGCACTGGCTGCTCTTCCAAAGGACCTGGGTTCAATTCTCCACACCCACATCTGTGACTCCAGTTCCAAGAGGTACAATGCCCTCTTCTGACCTCTGTGGGCACAAGTCACACGCATGACACACAGTCACATATGCACACACATGACACACAGTCACATATGCACACACATGACACACAGTCACATATGCACACACATGACACACAGTCACATATGCAGACAAGCACCCCCACACCAGGCACACACATGACACACAGTCATACATGCAGATAAGCACCCCACATACACTAAAATAATAATAGTAGCAATGATAATAATAGTTTTTGAAAGACTGCAAGACTTTTGTAAGTTTGTGCTTACAACATGAGATCCATACCATCACCTGAGTATAGGCACCCAATGCCACTTAAATGGTGACAAACACACCATTCTGCTTTCCCTTTGTCCAACCCACTCCCAGTCAGAGCCCGGATTATTTCAGATCCTCCAGCCACAGAGCACCCCTAACTTCTAGTCAACTCCCCCCCCCCTTACCTGGGCAGCAGGTGCTTGCGGCTGACACACAGGGCTGTCTGGTAGTCCTGGGTCACACACACTTTGTGAGGGCTGCATTTCACCTTCAGGCAAGGGTCCTTCGATGGGTCCAGGGCTGAGATTTAAAAAAAAGGGGGGGGGGAGAGCAGGGTTAGCATCTCCAGAGAAATTTAATTTCTGTCTCCATGCAAATAAACAAGTGGGAAATAAACCAGCTGTGCATGTTTGTGCTGCATGCTATTTCACGAGGCTGCTGGGGACCGAAAGGAAACCCCAGCTGGGTGGAGCTCCGCATCTGTCACCCTGGCCTCTCAAGCATCCACAGAGCAACTCAGTCCCGTACTGAACATCTCAGCACCTTCACAGTTAGACACAACCAAGGACCAAAAGACACCAAGACTGTGCCCTTTGATTATTGTCTGACACTGACTTGTGTGACTTCTTCCATGCTTAATTTTAATTATTTCCTAGTGCATACACTCCAAATCCTCACTGTTGCTTGTTCCTGTTCAATAAATATGGACTTCATACACGAATATTTTTTAAAAGTTTTTTTTGGAAAACTTCAGGATGGGCAAGACATTTGTACAACACAAAGTTATGATGTAAGTGGGGAAAAGGCTACACATAAATATTTATTGTGCAAGGCGGAATTAGATAAGGGCCGTGATGGGCATAAAAAACGATAACAGAGCTTGAGAGGAAAATAGAGATCAATTTCTAGGGCAAGGATTAGTGAAACATTCATATTTGAATTGAATTTTGAAGGATGGGCAGGAATTTTGCAAAGCAAAGATAGAAAAGACAACCCAGGCAGGAAGGCTAGCATGGGCAAACGTGGGGCAGCATGTTTGGGCAGTCAGGAGGAAGTGAGTCTCTTCACTGGGGTTGTGGGTCTGAATAACGAGAGGGGGAAAGTTGCTCCAAACACTTGAAGCCCAGAAAGAATTCCCAGAGGCACAAGGTCGCATCCAGCAGCATTTTCTAGACTAAGCTGAGCAGCAGGCCCCTGGCTCATCAGCAGTCTGCATGGTAAGGAACATGTGCTCATCGATGGGTACAGAGGGGGCCCAGGGGATTCTCTGCAAAACAAAAGCCATTGTGCCATCTCCCAGCTCCCAGGCTGAAAGCCTATTAGGCAGTAAATCTTTCATAACTGCTGTCCCAGCCAGGGGAGGGATGCTGCCCACATCATCCCCACACAGACATTTGGCTAAACTGATTGGCATTCCAAGCAGGTTCTGTCCCACCAATGAGGCTCCCGCTATCACACAGAAAGTCACAATTCTTTCCTCCAACCCAGGCCTGAAAATTGCTCATCACTTTCTTTAGGATGCTGCTGGGAATTTCTCAAGGGTCCTGAACCCACAACACTGGAAGGCTCCACTGCTGAATATCTCAGGGTGGCTCCGTCGTGTGGCGTGGGTAGCGGCTATGAATAATCAGGGAACATTCTTTTGTCTGCCACAAAAGCAACAAGCCCAGATTCCCACCCCTGGTAGAGTCTACTTCCCAAGGGATATGCTCTGATGCCTGGAGCTTACCAGAGAAACAAGCTTCATAAGAGAGTGGCTGGTTTGAGCCCCAGAGACGAGGCTTGCTTCTGCCTCTTAGGCTGAGTGCGGCCTCTGGGAGGGGGTAGCAGAATGGCTGAGTCTGCCCTGGGGGTCCTCCACAGCAGAGCCTTCTAGAAACGTGCTGGTTTGGGGAGATGACTGTAGAGACGTTAGGAGGTTGGTGTGGTCAGACCTTGGGGTGCAGAGCATCTAACTTCAGCTGCTCTCCAAGAAGCCTTCACAACCAAGGCACCCAGTAAAGATTAGCAAGCGACCGCCCGTGAGGACTACGTCTCTTCTCTCACTTCCACTCACCACTTATGACCTCAGGAAGCCTGGAGACCAGACCACTGGCTCCCTCACCACAATGGGCTGTTAAGGCACTTCCCTCGGTAGTGCCAGTGCTGCCCAGCTTTGGGATCTCCGCCCCAGTGGCTTTCAGAGATGGAGAAAGAAGCTCAGGGCGGCCTCCTCCGTGGGCGCGGAAGTCTACGGCACTATGTGATGTGATGTGTGTGACGGGCTTTGGGGCAGAATTTGGATTCTCTTTGCTTCTGCAGTTGACTTCTCACAAACATCTAGCGTCCACGCTGTCGCCCAGGTGGACAGAACAGTGCAGCTGTCACGAGGACGGCAAGCCACCTGTGCAAGGCAGGAAAGGACACAGACCTCCACTCCGGGGCTCCTGGGACTGGGTTCAGGTTTGGCTGCTTTCTAGCCTGTCTGTACTTTCATTTCCTCTTCTGCAAAATGGGGTCATAACAGCTGCTTCTATGGACCGTTAAGCTCGCTGGCTGCCATTGGTTAACGCGTGCAGGTGGGCTTAAGGTCTAGCATGGCAAGCACGTGCCACGTATTTGTTGGGCTTGAAGGTCTGCATTTTGTACTCAGAGGGGGTAACAAAGCTTCATAATTGCAAGAACAATAGCCGACACTCAGTCGAGTGTGTCTGACATGCAGCGAGCGCACTAAGCCCTCAAATTGGATTAGCTCATTACCCTAGTGTGTTTTCCCGTTGCTGTAACAAACACCACTGAAAAACGACTTAGGGAGGAAAGGGTTTATTTGCCTTAAGTTTTGCAAATCACAGCGCACCTCTGAGGGCAGCTGGGGCAGGAACTAAAAAAGCAGGACCAGGCGCAGGAACCAGAGAGGAGAGCCTACTACTGGAAAAGCAGGACCAGGCGCAGGGACCAGAGAGGAGAGCCTACTACTGGAAAAGCAGGACCAGGCGCAGGGACCAGAGAGGAGAGCCTACTACTGGAAAAGCAGGACCAGGCGCAGGGACCAGAGAGGAGAGCCTACTACTGGAAAAGCAGGACCAGGCGCAGGGACCAGAGAGGAGAGCCTACTACTGGATGCCTCCCAACAGGTTCATGTTCAGCCACTGCTCTCATGCAGCTTAGGACACCTGCCTGGGGTGGCATTGCCCACGGTGGGATCGTCCCTCCTTCGTGGATTAGAGGCCAAGAAGATGCTGCATAGACAGACCCACAAGCCAAGTGTGACTTCTCACACTTGAGGGTCTCTTTTCCTAGGTGTCTCTAGTCAGTTAGCTCTAGCTGGTTAGCTCACTTGTTTGTTTTGTTTTTCACTCATATCATTCAGAGATAGGTCCCTGGCCAAAATGAACACCGCATTTAAATTGGTCTTGAAGAAAATGGCAGGTTAGAGGCACAGTGGACATTTGCATACTGGTCTATAAACCCAAACTCCATCCTATTACGGGCCCTGGTACAGGAATCATCCGGGAGCCTCTTTCAACTAGAAAGCTGATTGACAAGCCCAAACTCATCAAAGTGGACAGCCTGTCACACCATTCTTCAGATGCCTTCCGGGGTGTAAAGAGTAAAAGGGGAGACCATGGGGCTGGTGCTGTGAGGCCACAGCACACCCTGCCAGTGTGTTCTTTAGGACCAAGTGACACAGTCACCAGCCCCAAACTCAATCAGAAGGTGGGCACTGAGCCACACTCTCTGCCTCCTAGCTCTAGGCATGGCGACAATCCCCCCCCCCCAGCTCCCAGGAGTCTCATTTGGTCCATGTCCATTCAATTCTCTCTGTATTCTCACACGACTTGCCATCCCACTCTTAGGATAACTATGATAGATAATACTCACCATCCAAAGAGCCAGACATTCTTAGTAAGTAAAATATCCACCCCAACTACAAATGCTTTAAAAACATCCGTTCGACCAGGCCTGTTGGTGCAAGCCTGTGTAACTCTAGCTACCTGAGAGACTCTTAAGTTCAAGGCCTGCCTGGGTAGCTCACTATCACCCATTTCATAATAAAAGGGGGGTGAGGGGGGCTTGGGGTAGAGCCTTGCTTAGCACTGAGACCCTAGGTTGAATCCCCAGCACCCCACAAACAAAAGAGCCGTCCAACCATCACCAGCCCATTACTTCACTCCACACACGTGCTTAACGATCTACACGGAGACACCCAATCTGCTCAACAGTGATAATTATAAGGGTCTGAGCACCTTGAACACATACATCAATTGTTTAGAGTAAACGAACATAACAGAACAACAGAACAGTCACAAATCAAGCTGCCAGGCTCCGTCTCATCACCAGCACACGCTTTGTTTTGAAATACAGCAATGTGGCTTGAAGGGGGATGAAAGGGAACGGAGTCCAGGTCTACTGTGCTCTGAACAGCAGCCGCAAGGCTCCCGGCACAGCCCGGCACAGGGCTGCCCGACTCCTCTTTTGAAAGGGAATGACTGGTAGGAGGTCTACATAGAAATGGCATTTCGCCTAGGGGTGGGGGCCTTGTGAGGCCTCCCTCCACCCATGCAGCATGCTGACTGGTGTGGTTTTGCAGGTCTCATCTAGGCAGCCATATTATTGAGAGCTCATGGGGGCAGCATGTCCTGTCCAGGAAAAAAACCTCTCACAGCAGCTGTCCTGGTCCTTGAGTTCTTACCATCTCCCCACACCCATTTCTTCAATGTTCTCTGAGACTTTTGTAAGGATTGTGTTGTAGATGTCACCATTGGGACTGGGCACCCCACAGTCATTTATTCCTCTCTGTATATTTCTATCAGTTGGGGATTTTTCTCTGAAAAAAGAAACATCTTTGATGAGATGTCAGAGCTATACATGCCTATAGGCACAAGGACGAACCTTTGTGGTTGTAGTAACATGCTGGCACTAGGTTTTCCTCTAGGGCCTATGATCTCTCCAGCCTCTGTTTCTTGGTTGGGTTTATAGTACCAGGCCTGACTTCTCTGCTATCGAATGGTCTTTAGGTCCAATTAGACACTTGATGATTACCCTCAACCTACAAGCGATAGATACTATTACATCGTTGTAACTGCTGAGATGGGAATAGGGAAGCAAGATAGGTGGGACTAGGAGTCAAGGAGGATTCTGGGAAAGAGAGGCAAAGTCAGCCACGATGTAGCTGCCATAGGGTTAAGAGGTCCAGACCCTTTCTCCGGTAAGAGAAATACTTAGATTAACAATTATGGCGTAAATACTTAAGTCAGAGATAGCCAGTAAGAAACCAAGCAAATGGCCAACAGCTTCATAATTAATACAGCCTCCCGTGT